GTCGACAGTGGGATTTGAACCCCAGACCTATTGCATGGCGGTCTGGCAACCTAACCACTACACTAAGATCGCCAGACGATTTAGTGTATTTCTATTAACTTATTCCTATATTTATCTTATAAACTTAGTAACTTTTTGCCTCTACTTCAAGTTTGAAACATTAAAACTAAGTGCTAGCAAGACCTTTAATATCATTAGTATCTGTAGCAAATTAACAATCACTTCAAAATTTGAAAAAAGAAAGTCAAAAAAGGACTAGTTATACAGATTCTTGCTGTTGAGGTAGGTGACAAGCTCTGCAATATAATCAGATTAGTTAAAAGGTAGCTCTTGTTCTCTTGTATCATTTAACTATTTATGATCATTACTGCTTAGCTAAGGTATAACTTATATATTGCTATGAGATTTTTAAGAGAGTATATATATAAATAATGTTATGATAATATGAATATATGTTAACAAAAAGAAAAACTTATATCATATAATATTGATGATTATATACTAGGCCTAAGTATAGTAGAAGTTTATTTTGATTGGCTATTGATGTACCTCAGATAATATGTTGATCATACTTAGATAAAGCATCGATTATATACCTATAACTCATTTCTGATTAGCTAATTTGCTATCATTATTTGGAGTTGAGTCAATAAAAATCAAGCAAATCAAAAAATTTTTAAAATTAAGATTTTTTATTGAAGTAATAGAAGTTAATGTACTGATTATTTTTTAATTAATAATAAAAATTGATCAACATAATAAAATTTTAAAATATTACCATTTTAAATTTTTTGTACATAAAAATTATAATCCTGAAATCACTTAGAAAATATAAATCAATCTACCTCAGATTTCGAATATATAAATTTACTAATATATACTGCAATAATAATAATAATAATAATAATAATAATAATACAACAGAGTAAAACCTGAGTCACTAGCTAGTAAAATTCAGAATTTAAAGTGAAATCTGCTATATAAATTATATGAAAGTTGAAATCTGCTTTTGTATAATAAAAAACATAGCTAAACTCAGATTTTACTATAACTACAAACTCAGATTTCACTCTAAAACTCAAGTTTTACTAGCTGGTAACTCAGGTTTCATCTAGTCCTATAATAATAATAATAATAATAATATGTAATAATAGTAACTTGGGTTTAAAAGATTAATATTAAATTTATTAAATCAATATTTAGGAATTAGTACATAGTTGGTCATTAATCATAGCAGATGTATATAGGTATTAAGTACGTAGCTGAATACTTTAGTTTTTATAGTACAATTTATATATAACTAGCTAGTTTGACTAGATTACATATAAATTATACTGTAAAACTAAAGTAGTCAGACTACTTAACATCTCTAGTCATATAACATTACTATGATTAAACGTAAATAAAAGTTTAAATATACCTAATAAATAATAGAATTAACTCAAACTTTGTCTTGTATACTATGAGTTTTGGTTTTAGTAATTTTTGTTGATAATATTCATATGATCGAAGATGCTAAAAGACTATTTATATTTATATGAATTTTAAAGAACCTTTTGATCTGCTCTTAGTATTTTTTTTTTTTTTTTTTTACATAAATTTTATAAATTCTTTATTTAAAAAATATAATAATACAGTATAAACTTTTTAAAAAAAACTATTTGAAAGTTTTCATAATAAAATTTTTCTCAAAAATCTGCAACTAGTCATAAGAACTATTAACTAATTTTGCATGATCTAAGTATAAAAGCAAAAAAAAGTATCTGAAAATCAGTATGAGAACATTATAAGTAAAGTAATAAATGTTAACTCATTAGAAATGAGTTTCAAGATTATGAATAAGAGTATTAGTATATATCTGTACTAGTATAATAGCACTAGAGTTAGTAAAGTCAAAATAGATGAATTATGAAGCATTCAAAAATTTACTAAGATGAAAAAATCAATATAAAATACATTATATATGTTATTGTTACTAAAAAGAAACTAAATTCAAAAAAAATATTTACAGGATAGTTAATTGCTTTTAAAGTTGAAGCTTCATAATAACTTCACTATTAACTTATTATTAATTAAAATAATTACTGGAAGTATTTTACTATATAATATTAATGATATTGTATATAATAAACTAAGTGATTGAATTTTTAATAGTAGTATTGTATTTCTGAGTAAAGATATTGATATTTTTTAAGAATATTAATTAGATGTAGAATGATGATAAAGTGAGGCATATAGTACAAATAATGAGAGTAGTAAGATAAAGGTAATGTAGAAACAATTATTTTAGAGAATAGTAATAAAATAATGAGAGATAGTAGGATAATGATTAAAAAAGAAAGTATAATTAGTATAGAGAATGAAAATATGTTGAATAAAATTAATGCTAAAAGCTGGCTATCTACTAAAGATAAAGAAATCGTATATTAATACATGAAAAATTAATGTTAAACTTTATGAAAAGACATGATGATATATAAAGTTTAAACAAATATAAATAGAGGCTATGTAAGTATATTCAGGTTTAAGTATCAAAGAAACAGGTTATAATCTAATTATTTTACTAACTTTTTATAATCATTTGTTGTTTCTTTATATAGAATGAATTAGTTACATTATCTATTATTTTAAACGCTATTATCTTTGTTTTTTTTTTTTTTTTTTAATTAAAGGTGGCTTACTTTGCCGAGCAGATTTTATTAGTTTAATATATGAGGTCGTCTGTTGACAATCTCCTACAGTTTGTAATTATATGAAGAGTGTACAACCTGCCACATATACAACTTTAGTTATTGTCTAATTTAAGTAGTCCGCCATACAGATAGATCACCTGTTTGGTTCTACACAAGTTACTATACCTGTAACCCGCTTGTGAGTTACCTATTTAAATACTCTGTTCACCTAACCAATACTGGAACTAACTAACGTCACTGTAACACCTAACTGCTTAAGCTAGCTAGCTCATTGCAGATCTATTTACCTAACTCAGCTTAGGTTCTCTCAGAATGTGTATTGCTTAACATATTATGGCATGCAGAGCTCTAGTTAACCTCGTAAGCAATCCTACTAGAGCAGTCCGTGCTCATTTTACGAATTCATCTAGCTTAGACTCTTGCAGATGTTTGTATAATCTCAGTTCCTACTGTGGCTCTTCACCAGTTTTCTATATCTATCTTCTCAGATGTTTTATGAGGCAAATTCTCCTAATCCAGTTAGCCACCAAGCCAAGTTGGTGTTACTGATTCTCCCTGTAGAACAGATTTATGTGTACCTGACTCGATCAGCATCTTTTGACGATAGTTTCTTTTCTAGATCAAGCATTAGCTGGTGTGACTGTTGAAAGCTGTACTACTTCACCAACTTGAGATTTCTACTATGCAGGTCCCCTGCTTGTAGATCCTATCAAGATTTATTCATGTAACATTACACTCTCCGAACATTCTGTCATACTTCTAATATCTGAATGATATTAGTGCAACGTGATTTACAGAGTTACAACCCCAGAAACAGACAGGGTTTACCGTAAGTTGGGTACAAAGGTCTGAGTAATTATTCAAATTCATCGACAGTGAGATTTGAACCCCAGACCTCTTGTATGGCAGTCTGGCAACCTAACCACTACACTAAGATCGCCAGACCTCTATTTAGCAATTTTTTAAATTATAATATTTATATATTTATTTTGTATTTTTATAGTTCTGAAAAGCAAAGACCTATAAAGAGAAAAAAGTATTAGTTTTTATATTAAAAAAAAAAAAAAAAAACAGACAAAAAACTAAGAACAGAAGCTAATACTTATTTTCTAAACCTAAATTTTTATATATCTATTTTATATTATTACAAGTATTAGCTTTCTTAATACAATACTAGTAATATAATATACAGAAGAGGAGCTCTCAACAGTGTCTAAGTAGAATATTACTTCATTGTAGTAATTCATTACAAAGTTAATAAAAGAGCAAAATTATACTTTATTTAAGATACAATATCAATAATACAAGACTATCTATTAGTTTCTATGCAAGAGAATTCTAATATTAAGGAGATTGCAGAAGTTAAATCTAATTTGAGGCAAAGAGAAAAGGGAGAGTTTATATAGCTTTTTATAATTAAGAATAAGAAAGTTAAGAACAGTAAGAACAGTAAGAATAATAAAATAATTTTTTTTTTTTTTTTTTTTTTTTTTTTACTTTATACAAATGCTATCAGCTGAAACTTTTATTAGTATTAATAGTGAGAAATGTTACATATTGTGAGAGTACAACTAGCCACATATACAACTTTAGATTGTCTAATTTAAGTAGTCCACTCGAAGGTTCTATACTAGCTATCATACCTGAAATCTATTTAAAGATTACCTATTTAAACTCTCTGGCCCTATGACACTTACTCGTATTTTATCTTTTTTTATCAAGATTTATCTAACCCTATGCTACTTCTTCTAGAAGACACCCGAGCTGACATTAGTCTACAAACTTTATAGTTCAGAGCCTAGACCTTATCACAAGGTGTCCTTTCACTAACTCTCTAACTGATGGGTACTGTGGTACCCAACTATGCTATGCTATATCCTAATCTAGCTTGCATAAACTCTTGTTCGATGTTCGTACAAACCTAGTTTCTACTGTAGCCTTCTACCAAGTTAGTTATCTATGCCTCCAGATATCACATGAAGTAGATCCTCTCAAATCTGTTGCTTAGTATTGCCTGCTTTGCTACTAGATATCATACAAGACAGATCCTCCCAAATCTAGTTAGCTGCCAAGCCAGATTGGTGTTGCTATATAACCTCATATAACAGACTTATTTGTACTTGTTTTATTAATTCTTCTGTACTTAAGACTTACTTGTATCTATTTTACTAATTTTTTCGTACGCAGATTTCCTTTCTCAGATCAAACGATGACCATTGAAATCTATACTACTTTATCTAACTTGAGATTTTTACTATGCAGATCCTCTGCTCGTAGATCCTATTAAGATTTATTTATGTAATGTTATGCCTCGCTGAATACTCTGTCACACTTCCAATACCTGATTGGTATTGGTGCAATGTGATTTACAGGGTTACAACCTCAGAAACGAGCAGAGTTTTACCATAAGTTAGATACAGATATCTAGGTAATTATTCAATTCTGTATACAGTAGGATTTGAACCCTAGACCTCTTGCATAGCAGTCTGACAACCTAACTACTATACTAAGATCGCTAGACCTAATAATAAGATAATTATAGTTGTTTCTAAGATAACTTTAAAACTAAGAGTTTTATAGTTATAAATTATAGCTCGTTTAAAAAATCTCTTCGAGCTAAATCTAATAGTATAACTTAATTCTATCTGTGACTACTAAGTTTTTTTTTTTTTTTTTTTTTTTATAGTTTAAAGAAGAAGTCCTGTGTTCGGCCACAAATAGCTACTTGTACAACTTTAGTTATTATCTATTTAAAGGTTCTGCTCGCAAGTTATTTGCTAACTGCCATACTTGAGATCTGCTTGTAGATCCTCTATTTAAGTTCTCTGATTTTTAATATTTTGTAACACTAACTCAAATACAGTTATGATCAAGACTAAGGGCTACTTTACTCATGGACATAACCTCTACCAAGAAGTAGTCTATGCCTATTTCATAGACGTCTATGGATTTGTACCCTTATGATATTTGTACAATCCTAGTTCCTACTGTAGCTCTCCACTGATTTTCTGTTTACTGATCTCTTCGAATATTTCATGAAATAGATCCTCTCAATTTAGTTAGCTACTAAGCCAAGTTAGTATTGCCAATCCTTCTTGTAGAATAGACTTACTCACATCTAACTCAATCTACATTTTCAAAGTAACAGTTTCTTTTCTAGATCAAGTATTAGCTGGTATGACTATTGAAAGCTATACTACTTCACCAACTTGGGATTTCTACTATGCATGTTCTCTGCTCATAGATTCTATCAAGATTTGTTCATGTAATGTTATATACTTTGTCACACTTCCAATATCTGAATGATATTAGTGCAATATAATTTACAGGGTTACAACCCTCAAAAACGAACAGAGTTTATCATAAGTTGGGTACAAAGGTCTAGGTAATTATTCAAATTCATCGACAGTGGGATTTGAACCTCAGACCTCTTATATAGCGGTCTGGCAACCTAACCACTATACTAAGATCACTAGATCTAAGTTTTTTTTTTCCTTTGATAGTTGCACTTTATATATTTATTAGATAAAGAGTTATAGATAGCTAATCTGCATAAGATTTAACTTAATACAAGACCTATAGTTCCTTCCTATATATCTAATTTCCTAATGGAAAGTATTATTCAATACTCTATTTGCATATATGCTCAAATGTGACTTGTTATACTAAAAATCTCCTTAATATAAAGAAAAAGAGAAGTCTAGACAATTTTGTTTAACTATCTAAGAAGATAGATATTAATAAAAGTAAAATAAAATTGTTATATATAGTGAAAAGCAAAGCCATATACTGCATATAACATTCAAAGCAAAGTTAGAAAAACTTGCTAACAAAATAAAAATCTAACAAGCTAAAAGGAAAAGACACAAAACAAAAACAAAAAAGAAAAAGAAAATAAAAAGCATCTTGTAAGAATTATAACCTAAATATATAATTCTGTTTAAGACTGGATAGTTAAAAATTATAAATACAAAATATATTTATTTGCAAATATCTCTAATATTCGATAATGATTTAGTTATTTTGTCAAATATATAATAGCTTATTATTATTGTAGTAAACTTGTAGTTTATATTGCAAAATAAAATTACGTGTTTGTTATACTAACTTCAAAATACACATGTATTTGTTGTTGTCATACCATAAGCCTACTTCCAAATTTATCAATAATATGTATACTGATCTTTGGTAGAGAGTAAGCTCTATTCCCTACTTTTTATACAAAAAATACTCTAAGTTTGCTAAATAGTCGAAACTGTTTCTAAGACTAACCAAAGGTTTAGAAGTGAGAGTAAAGATATCTAAAATAAACTTGAAAAGTATAAGAAGTAGTATTATACTCGACTCTATTTAAGTATTTTTTTTAACTTTTATATTTACAAAACTTATTTCTAATAATAAAGTATATAAAATATATACAGCATATACAACTCTTTCTAATGATCATCAAAACCAAAACAACAAGACAACAAAAATTTATTTTCTTACACTACTACCTAGTAAAACTACTTAAAGTGACTGACTATGTGAGGAATAAACTATGAGGCTGCAATAAGCCAGTAGCAAGAACTGCAACAAGTCAGTTTCAAGATTATACTGGACCCTTTGGCTATCTGACTTTAGCAGAGTAACTTTAAGTTAGTTTAGTAGAAAGGTATCAATGGTGAAAAGAAGAAGTATAAGAAGAACTCTAACTATGCTTGTGCTAAGTCAAGCATATAACCACTCTCTTAGTTT